AAGCTTTTGAAGATATGCAGATTAAGATGGTGTGGCCCCTGGTATGGTCGCAGTTTCCCTTCGACTTATAGAAATCGGTTGAGCTCGTTTTCGCAACTTGGACTTACCGTCAGGGCGACTCGATAGACGCACCTTTTCCGAATTCCTCTGCCATAGTAGTTATCATAATTCCCAACATCAGACCGTGAACTTGGTACATTCTCAAACGTTTCGCCGCCATCGTTGTCGGCATCATCAGTGAGTGCCGCCATTTTCCGCACCAAGCTACGAATTCGTCAAAAAGGCAAGTGAAGTAAATCCCTCTACCAACGTTTTGCCGAAAACAGGACCACGATGAGGATCTGGATCGGAGGCCCGAGTCGGATTAGCCGATCCAAAGAGTGGGTTACAAGGTGAACAGCAGGTGTGATAAAGCCACACTAAATTTGCCAACAGATTTCACACATTTTGACGAGTGGAATGTAAACAAGTCAGAAGTTGTGATAGGGCGGAAGTTGTATAAGAGGGTAAAGAGTTGATAGATAGGGCTGGACTGAAAGAAGAGTGATAGTGCAACCTTTTGTGGCAGAATGTTGGTCGAGGGATTGACTTCACTTGTCTCTTTGACGAGTTCATGGCCTGGTGCAGAGAATGGCAAAGCTCACTGATGATGCCGACTACGATGCCGGCGAAACGTCTGAGAGTGTACCAAGTCCACTATCTGGTGCTGGGAATGATGATAAATTCTATAGAAGAGGACTTCGGACAAGGTGTGTTCTACTAAGTCACCCTGAAAACAAGACCAAGTTGCGACAACGAGGTCAACCAATTTCTATAATATGCATTTTTCTTTTATCAATTAGTAGAAATCATCAGAACAAGGTAGCATTCTTGCAACTAATAACGGACCAGGAAACCACGTTGACTTATTCCTACCTGCTACGTATATATTCACTAAGTGTATGCAAGCTTGCAAGGTTTAGACCCACTTGCATTCACAATGGGACCTTAAACAAGTGCTGTATTAACCATAGTTCATACTATACTGCAGGACTGGCAGTTGAATTTTCGATAATGAAATGAATTTTAAATAGGAAGACCATAATAGCGTGGTATTTTGCTTGGTTGCAGTCTCTTTTAGTCGTATAATGTTGGTCTAACATAGTTTTCGCAATTTGTTCGGAGCGATAAGTAGAC